AGAATCAAAGCTGGCGCTTCCTGTTTCTGTCCGACATCTAAGCAGATTACCTTTTCCCATCCACCCCTCCAGACCTTCCTCTCCCCTAAAAGTTTACCTGGAAATTTCTGCACAAAAGGTTGAAATGTCACAGTCAATATGTCACAGCAAGCACTGGGCACTAGAAAAGGCACATGTGACCCTGGAGCACCGAACCGGAGCGGTTTCATGATGATGGATGTCTAGTGAGAAACCCGAGGTCTCTGTGCCAATTCCATATGTGACGACTCTTGGCCGCTGGTTCACTCGGGTTTTCCGTGGCAGGTCGGGCCGGTGAGGCCTCCGCTCTCTACCTGCTCTGCTGATTGCATCCTGATTCACTGAATCAGTTTAGTTGTAATGTGACAAAGCAATAGAATGTGGCAGAGCGCTCATAAGATTGCATTTTGCAGGGGTCTGCTCTTGCATGTTTTTTCCCCCTCTTTTTCTCTCCCTTAGTCATGGTTTCCCCCTACAATGATGAATTTCAACTGATGTGATTTATTTCAGGTAGAGGCGTAGAGACAATTGCAGTTAAAAGGTAAATGGTCCTAATCTAGTGCACAGTCCTATTCTATTAACCTGCGAGTTCTGACCACATCAACATCACTCCCGGCTAAGCTGCCGGGATACTTCTGCCTTTATGACTCATTTTGGTTATATAGCCTCAGACCTTCACCTCCTTTGTGATTTTATTCAAACTCATTTGCAATTCAGCTGACCACACGCATTCAGTGCAAGGACGCCAACTATATTGAGGAAATAAATCATGCTCCATTCATTTTCTTTTAGACAGAAACTTCCTCCCTAGTTCTTTTACGAGTACATGACCACTAAAATTAGTATAACATAGTATAATGACTAAAAAGGCATGCCCATTTTCATTAAAAAAACATACTGGCAGCTTTTTTAGCATGTACTCAACACACACTCTCACAGAATTGTATTTCTGGCACAGAACCTCCATGTTTCCATGGCCACCCGGCTCTATTCCCGCTCTACGAGAAATTGCTCAATACACGCAATACAGAGATTAAATGTATCAAATAAATGATCCCTTAATTTCGTCAGCACCACAGGACTAGATTGTGGCCAAACCCTCTCGAGCATTAAAGCCCCACCTAACAATCTGCAACTGCATGACACAGTGGGTTAGTTTCATATTGGTTGTCACCTGCTGGCTGTCAATTTGAGCTGGGAAAATAATCGAATGCTTGAGTCGAGAGCGCCAGCCGTGCTCACAACACGCTAACATACAAAAGGGGGGGCAAACAGATGGTTCATTTACCACAACTATTTGTAATGAAGCATTTGCTGCCAAAATCCTCTTTATCACATTGTAACACTGGCCCGATACAGAATTACAGAGTGCTTTAATCTGAACGTTTATCCAGCAGATGATTACGTGTCGCTGCTCTAAGCCCTCGTGATAGCCATTGCCTGTCAGCTTGAAAAGGTCCAATTGTGGCATGACTGCACGTGTCTCTATTAAACAAGCTCGGTCTGGTGTCTGTTCTGGAGGAACATTACCATTTACGCATTGTCTCTCCTAGTCGAGGGCTATAGGCACAAATAAATGCAGTCAGAAATTGCGTTTGGCAGTTCCATTCATTTTAAAGGACTTTACAGCGTTAAGCACATCTTACCCGGTAGGTGCTTTTATATTTTATTATATATTCATATCCTATCCTCTCACTCCGTCTGTCTCACACACAAACTGACGCCCTTAAGACTTCCCATAATGCAAAGTAAAGCACTAGCGTGTCTGGTATTGAGGCTTACAAACCAACAGTGGCTCCATTTCAAAAACTAGTGAGCAGCCTTGCTGTCTGCTACATACTAATTGAAACAGAACCTCATAAATTACTAATTTGGACCACTCTACACAAATATATATTATATTCAAATTTATCTGCATACATACAGTACATTTAAGTAAAGCAATATATACTCTATACAGCAAAACTGAAAAAGTTGAAAAATGTAACTACTATATTACCGCCCAGCTCTTTATACAGTGGTGGCCAAAACTATTAGAACACTAGTATTTTCACCAGCTAAAAAAATGGTATTAAGTTAGTTATTTCAATCTTTTGTTGTAGTGTGTCACTAGGAAATATCAGCTTACATTTCCAAACATTCATTTTGCCATTAATTGTAATAATCCAGTGAGATTTTTGTTTGCACAAGGAGTCTGACAACAGCCAGTGCTCCACACAGAGATCTGATCTCACCATCATCCAGTCTGTCTGGAATGACATGAAGAAACAGAACAAACTGAGACAGACTCAATCCAGAAGAACTTTAATTTAGTTAATAGAAGTTAATTGAAAAAGAAAGTTTATTTATGACATAAATTGACAACATCCTCATTTTGCAGTATTTTCATATTAGTGTATGTATATATATATATATATATATATATGTATATTTTATATAAGTTTAT